ATGAGCATTCCATACTTTTAAACTCTCCCAGCTGCACATGTCATATGTGCATAGCGCTTACCCGTGTCTCATTGCCGTCAAAATTGAAATTATTTGTACATCTCTGTTGAGATTACATTCCTGGTGAGTTTCGTGATTGTGGCTTGATTTCTTCTAGGTGAATAAATTTTTTTGTGTCCGAGTGTATGTAATAAATCATTTGAAGTATGTTTTATCACAAATGGGTGTATAAGTTAAATTACACTGCACTGATATAAGTATTTCTTCAGAAATTGATAAAAAATTGTTTATCATTTTTAGACAAAAGGGGCAATTTGCACAGAAAGGCTATTAATTTTGTTTTGGCATTTTGCATTGATTCACTATAAACGGTGAATCCCTTTTTAAATTGTTTGCCACCAAGTATTAGAGCCCTGTATAATATTTAATGAAATTAAATAATGAAGAATATGGATAAATGTATGTGTGTTTCTCGCATTGTGGTAAAACAGCGGTACCTAGAGTCATCAAATTTTAAATTATGTACGTATCAGGAAGCTCAAATTTGGAATTTGTTTTATCTGTTTCATATTTTATAAAGCATTTATGAGTTTATTAATAAGAAACTCGGCGATTTCAAAGTGAGCAATGGCAATACTGTGAGATGGGGTTAAAAACATTTTTATCTTCTGTGCGCAACACTGCATCAGAAATTCTAAAGATATGCTTTTTTAAATATTTTGTGATGTTGCTGTTGGATTGAATTTTATGGTTTAAGTGCAAAGAACAAGATATTTAATAAATAAAGGTAACGCATAAAACATTACAAAAACGTCCCTTTGGGCGTAGTATAAAATCTGAAAGCTTTGAGATTTTTTAATTTTTAGTCCAAAGGGGCTTTGTCCCTAAAGGACTATTGTTTTCATTTTGCGATTTTGCGTTGGTGCTCTCTAAAAATCTGTTTCACTTTTCAAACTGTTGCCACCAAATGTTAGTCCTGCATTATATTTGAACAAATAAAATAATGAAAAATCTGCATAAATGTATGTATATTTGTCGCATTGTGATAAAACAACAGTACATAGAGCCATAAAATTTTGAATGATGTAATCACTGCTAATACACGTAATTTAAAATCTGAAATCTTTCAGATTTTCTTTTTTAATTTTTGTGAGTGTGTGTGTTTGTTTTTTATTGCAAATAAATAAATGTATTATGATATTGGTTTTAAATTATGCTGGTCACTTGTAAGAGCGTAAACCTGATCACTGTAAGAGGGTTCATCGAATGTATTTTATATATAAAGGGGAAAAACACATGTTGAAATAAATATTGTTTTGTTGATAGCCGAAAAAATTTTAGTTTTATTCCTTTATATGTTCCGTTGCTAATGATTAGTGGACTGTAATGTTGACTTGTGATTATACTCTCAGTAGAACTCAAGAAACGTCGGATTCATAATCTTGACCTAATATCTTTATTGGCTTTTTTAAACATCATGTTGGCTGAGGAATGGTGACTCAAGAACCTCTGCGTCGTTGGAACTATAGTAACCCCTGAAGTCCAAGCGCACGCGTAAAAACACTGATTAATTTGCATTTGCGTCGATCCTCAGCTCAATAACTAGAACTACAATTTGCATAACAACAAACATACTCCTAACCTTGAAGTCCCAAGGGGTGTTCAAACAATAAACTGTAAGTTATCAAAACTAATAGACCTGAAAAATAAAAAAAGTTTCTAATATCATGAATTAAATGCAAAAGGACATAGCTTTGCATAAGAACTCTAGTTCCACAGTCTGTAGGATTTTCTTTTCCAGCAACATAATTCCATTGAATACCTGGAACAGCTTCCTGAATCTTTGCAACCCGATTTGCTACAAAAGGTAGCCAACAGCACGGCTCAAACGAAACCCATGCCAATGTAACCCACGAGTTGATCCATGTGTAAATACTGTTAATCGGAAGTTCTATGCATGATTAATACTGCACATAAGATGTTGGTTAAAAGTACACAACACACAACTCCAGTCTCAGAAAAGAATTATTTTTTTAACAGAGCAACTCTGGTTTTTGATGTCAGAAGGCTAACCTTGACTGAAGAGTCAGAGCTGATTGTATGTAAAATGTGGCAGCATTCCAATAATTCTGTTGATGATAAATACTGGTGTTGTAAATGACACTTTCGCTGGAAAATTTGGAAAGGGATTTATTTGCGCAATTCCGTTAGTCGTCATATCCAACGATCCTAAACATGAAATAAAAACTTCCGCATTTGTTCTCAATAACCCGTCTCTATACACATTGTTCTGTAATCAGATTCGCTTGGCTGCCAGATCAAGGAGTCCTCTACACAATTGGTAGTCGTGAGATGAATCCAACACTTTAATAACAGCCGTGCATAATAAAACTTCATGCTGAAAATTAAAGTCTGATACACAAGACTTAATTACTGAACTCATGAAATTCTCCCCTGTTTAGCCAATTGAGTATGAGGTACTTGTACAGGGAAAAATTTCTGGGCCATCACTAATAACGCATTTTTGGCTCATTTTGAGTTCTTTCAAAATGCAGTAATGTGTGATGATTTTTAAAACACATTTTACATTTATGAATATTTCTACACTTGAAAGCTTTCTGATTTGAAACTATACAATTAAAACGCATCGTTTTTCTTGAAAAAATTAACATGCTTCTAAATATTCAGATTTCAAAACTTAATACATTTTAAATACTGAATGACTGCCTTTACAGTTCGTACACTGCGTGTAAATCTCTGAAGCCAATGAGGTTAATTTGTCTTTCACATTTTGTTTTTAACACTTTATTGCTTACCTACTTGCAGAGTTCTGGTGAGAGATTTTAAGAATTCTAAAAGGTCATTAAGGGTTGGTATTTCCTCTCATTTTAACATTCTTTCCTCACCATCCTCTCATAGAAGAAGAATCTGATTTAAATTTAAATTGTACTATTAACATTAAAATAGTATCCGCAAATTGTTCTACTTTGAACCTCAGATTCTCAAATGAACATCCACATTCGGTCACAGTATCTACTAATGTTAATAATTTACTGGCATTTTCAGTTTGTAAATTTGATAAATATAATATTTCCTTTAACAATGATGAAAATAATTCTCTGTTATGTAAAAATCCTTGACACAGTAAATTCCATGCTATTTCAAAATTTCTACTACAAATAGTTAAAGCCTAAACAATCCTTACTGCATCTACCTGTAAAGAACATTTTAAATATTGTAATTTTTGTGCACCCGATAATTTGTCATTATCCACTATCGCATTTTAAATAAATCAAAAAATGATAGCCATTCTTCAACACTGCCACTAAATATAGGAAGAGTTAGCTTAGGTAAGCCAATACTCGCTATTTCACAAGATTTAGCCTCCACAATGATATCTTTAACATTCTTAACATTAACTCTGATTAGCATTAAAAATAACTCATCAACAGTATCTTGCATATCTTGTTGTTCTTCAGTGAACGCATCAATATCCTTTTCTTCACAAACTACAAAAATGTTACTAAAAATATCCAAAATTTCAGTCATTACATTATTAAATCTCATCTTGAAAAGTTATAACTGAGCGTAATCAGCAAAGTCATAACTCACTGTAATTTTCTCCTTTAGTTTAGTTAACTTTAGTCTTAGCTACATGCTTTTTCATCTATCTAATAAGAAAGAGTTAGAATTACACTGGCTCACCAATTTTACTGCTGCTCCATAGTTGACGAACCAAAAAACATATATGTTCAATGGTTAATGATTAGTGGACTGTAATGTTGACTTCCAAATATAACCTGCAGCAGAACTCAAGAAACCTCAGGTTCATAATCTTGACCGAAACTCTTAATTGGCTTTTCAAACATTACATTGGCTGAGGAACGGTGATTCAAGAACAGAGCAACCCTCTTGCTTTAAATGTGCATCTCAAAAAAACTTCTGCGCCATTGGAACACCAGTAACCCCTGAAGCTCCAAAGGCATGCTTAAGTACCCTAAGTATTTTTGGTTTGCGCTGCCCCTCTGCACAATGACTAGAAATGCAATTTGCATAATAACAAATATTGAATGTTCTTAACTTTCTATTTAGTAAATCAAGTGCATGTAAGGAAATTAAGTTAAATTTGACTGTGTTATTTTTCACTTTAAAAATAGAATTAGAAAGCTGAATTGTGCATGTTAATAAGCGTGTGTAGTTAAGATGGTTAGTAGAGTGTTATTTTATTATTAGAATATTTGATTATTACAGTTGATTTAAAATTCCTGCACTTAAAAAATTTTGTAGAGTTTTTAGTTTATTTAACAGCAGAAAATAATATTAATGCTACAATTAAGTATGCTACAGAAATACACAAACTGGAAATGCAGCTGAGAAGCTTCAGATTTCATATTATTTATTTCCCCCCATATGGTTTGTAATTGAGTATGGAGGCACTGTCGAAAAAAGAAATCACTGTGATAGTGGTATGTTATATGGAAGTTATTAGTTAATTGTATAACACTTGCACAGTATTAAAAATTTTGTCTTTTCTATTTGAAAATTTGCCTGAAAATTATTTAATTTTAAATGTGTGTTTTAGGAATAGAATGTTAGTGGTATTTTTCTCCATTTTATATTAATAGTCTTTTAATGTATGTTAAATGGCACTTTAATTTATATTGTAAACCTCATCTCTGTGAACTAATTTATTCCTAATAGTAATTCATAAAGCAGGAGTTTGTAAAGAAAGGAATAATCATCAATAAAAATTTTGCTTCCAAAAAGGGGTTGCCATTACAAGGATAGACTACTAGATGCCCACTTTCTTTTAGGTGAAAAGATTTGGATAGTTTGCAGTTTTTTCTCTTAAACTACTTAATTTTCATTTTCAAAAAACTATTAATTCCAACATCTTATAAAGCAAATTAAGACTATTTTTCAGGGAGTAATTTCATGAAACATTTAATTATGTAGATTAATATCTGTTTGTAGTAATTATCTAATTTTTTGTGTTTTAGCGTATGCTCAACAACTGGAAACTCTTATAGCAGAAAAAATTGATGTCTTGTCAAAATTAAGTGGTAAGGTCATTACAAGTTTTATTTCTGTATTTTATATTTGTTCATCAGTAAAACAGTAATAATGTATTCACGTTTTGAATTTTATTAAATGGTCATTAGTAGAATAAATAATGTTCATATAAGCCATTTAGAATTTTGCAAACATTTTCATTACTTGATGGTGGCAATGATAAATGCAAGTGTAACAGGACTCTTTTTTAGTCTCATTGTATGTTTCCTCATCAGGAAATCAAAAAATTCATCATGCACATTTAAGTTTAATAATCACAGAAATGTAGATAAGTACTGCTTAGGTAAAACAAAGTGGGGGTATAAACAAAATGTATGTAGATTTATAAATATTTTGTATTTGTCTATTTTTATTGTCAAAGTTAATAGCAAGCTACAGAACGTGAGTTTAAGAGACTTCATCATTATAATAATTCAACTTTTATCTTCATTTTAAAAATGAAGCTTGGAAAATCTTGAAGGGTCAGGGAACTGAAAAATCCTTCCTTTTTTACTTTTACTTACAATATAGTTAATCATACGAAATAATAGGAGTGTTGTGATCAGGAAAAATTGCAGTTGTTGGGTTTCAAGGAAATATCCATTTTAACTATTTTTTTGCATGTCTATATGAACGAACAAAATAAAGGACTCCCTTTTTTTTCCCTCCATAACGTTTGCACATAAGTAATAAAAAATGATTAGCTGTAAAACATTGAAATTTTGTATATGGGTCTGCTATAACATCTAGCTGTGCAACTCCCCCCCCCCTTTTTTTTTTTTTTTTTTTTACAATTAGCAATACCAAAAGTATATGTATATATCCACTTTCCATACCCAGGTTTTGCTTTTGCAGTTGCTGTCTGTAGTCATATATACTTCCATTTACAGAAGTATTTTAAATGATAAAAATATTCATGTTTTGGCAATTTGAAATTTTAAAAAAAAATTAATTTTGGACATGCTACAAAATTTGATTTTTAATGCGATCTTTTTTCAGTTCCTGTACTTATACTTGGGAAAGTTTTATACTCATTTTGGGAAAATAAAAATACAAGAACCCTCGTTTAACTCCATTATGAAAAACTGACTAGAATAGTTAATTTCAAAATTTGCAACTTTTATGTCGTTTTCAACTAGCTTTGAGGGATTGTATATTCGGGTTAGAATAATTCAAAGAAATTAGTTTAAATGAAGTGTAGCCAAACGTCTGTATAATTTTAATAGGCTGTTCAAGGAAGTTGTGGTGTGTACATTCTATTTTTAAAAAAAGTCAGAGACATTAAAATTATGAAGTGCAGATTGAAAATTTCATAAATTTAGACTATTTTATAACAATTATCATTGTTTCTGTAGATGAGATTTGTAAACTCTGAAATTAACTGCTAAAGAAGTTGTAACTGATCTCATTTTGTATGGCATGGCTCTTTTACTATAACTAGAATCACATTCATAACTATAGTTTTCTCTGTTCACCAGCTGTTTAAAATATGAACAGAATTTGTTAACGCTCTGTATAAACATGTATATCTAAGGCAAAGATTATGTAAAATAAAATTATAATGCTATTAACCCCTTGAACTTTTTTTTAAATGTCTTTTTTTCTGTTCTAAAAGTAGTAACATACTTATAATAATTTTTCCCAAAGAGTCATTTCTTAATTACCACTTGTCATATGATGTTTAAAATGTTTTAAATAGTAACCTGTAAAATAAAATTGAGAAAGAAAACAAATTAAGAGTTACTTTAACTTGTTGTTATGGAGTAAGAGAGCAACAAAAGGAGTACTTGATGTTGAAACTGACAAAATGATATTCCTTAAAATTTCACATCAACAATATGTAACTTATTTTAGAAAGAAAATTTGTTGCACTGTTTAAAGAAAATTATTCAAAAATACTAAAAGTATTGTTAGAAATAAGCAGAACTAAAATAAGAATTATTAGAAACAGATATAATGAAGTTATATCTGTTTTAGTACTTCTCTGTAGGTCATATTTTTTGCAAAGATAGCATAATTTAAAAGGCATCACATTATGTGGTTCTACATTATATTTAATATTTGTATGAATTAAATATTCTACTGAATCTAGTGTTATTCTGCTTTATTTTGAAGCATGACAGGAATAATATTAATGGTGAATGATTTATTTTTATAAATTTAGTTCACAGAATGAATCTGTCCTGCCTCTTCAGTTTGAAATTTCTTTTTAAGAATCTTTTTTGAATGGTTTGATATCTATTTCGTACATATTTTCTTATTTAGTTTCATTATTTTGAAGAAAAATAAGAATTATTAAATGAAGTTTTTGTAATGTTCATAGTTATTTCATTGCATTTTGTAGTAATGAGTAAAATCACTCAGTTACTCATAATTAATTTGTTTACTAATTCGTTATGATAGGTCAAGGAAATTGTTCAAATTTGGTCATAGAAAATTCAAGAAAATATTGAATTTTAGTGAGAACCTGTTATAGCATCATTGAATAGAATTGTGGTTTTACTGTGCTTAGTTTTTATATATTTATATGTCTATCTCTTAATATTGTTTTCTTTTTCAGAAAAAGTATCTATTTTTCGTCAACAATTAGCTGAAGAAGAAAAAATTAGTAAAACAATGAAGAAAAAATGAAGTTTTTAAGTTGTGGACTCCTCTTATCCATCTGTCAATTTACAGAAAAAAAAAGGTCTGGGATATAAACAGTCTCTGCACTTATAGGTTTGTAGGTAACTGCCTACCTCAGCCTAGTCAACTTTGTGCCTCTATGTATATAAATCAACATGCTTTGACTTACATGACTTTACTGTATCATCCTCAACTCTTCTGAGTTTGCTGGAGAATGGGAAAACTTCCTATATCACACATGGAAAATTCTGCTCCTGGCAAAAGAAAACTTTTATAATTTGAGTGGAATCTAATTTTAAACATTTTTTTACTTACAAACGTTGCTTCCATTTTTTAGTTCTGTATAAACTAGCTGTGTGTATAAATAAAACCAAAAGTAGTTGTATAATTTTTATTATTTTTGTCTGCAGATGCAATATTTTTTATTGTGAGTTTGCTGTATGCTTGCTTGTAGAAATATGAAGTAAATTTAAAAGTAATCAATTTTAAAGTTTTATTTTGAAAGTAGTTTGAAATATTTTGCTTTCTATTAAAATAATCTATCTCATCTGTGATGCCTAAAATTATATTGTAATTTGTTGTGCCTAAATTGTAAAGGCAATGATGCTTACAACAGAAAGCTTACGTGTAGGCTTGCCTTGCAAATTGTAAATTAAAATAGTTGTAAGATTTTGTGTCTAAAAGAAGATAAAATAAATGCTTTATATTTTAATTAAATTTGATTTGTACAAGTGATATGATGATACTTTATTAATGCTTATTATCCTTTCAAATATTGTAAGTTCCTGTTTTACTTAATATTTTATAACAAAGTTAATTCAAATAATTTGAATAAAAATTATTACATTGTACAAAATTGGAATTCTTTTGTTCAGTTGTACCAACTAGCTTTACTCTTTTTTTGTGTCAGTGCCAATTCAGTTTAGTCTTGGCTTTGGGAATATTTCATACTAATGCAGGACTTAAAAACTAGAATAAAGTATGGTATTTAAGTTAGTTTGTGCTTGTATTGAATAATTTTATTTTTATTTGTCTGTGTGTCTAAATTATTGCATTATTAATTTATTGAACTTTTTATATATTTTTACTTTTTCTGTGACTAGTAATTTGCTCAGAATTTTTCTCCCTTAATTTCTTCATTCTAATTTATGAATTTTTTTATTATTATCCATGTTTGTAAAACCTTTTATGTGTATTCTAATGAAATTTCAAAATTGAAGGTTTTGGACAGATGTCTTTCTATACCTGCCAAATTACAAAAAATTGTTATGTTCATAAATTTCTTTTTAGCCTTGAGTTGTATTCACTGTGAGTTATAATACAAATATTAGATTTCACGAACAAATTAAAAAATTAATTGCAAGAGGCCTTTTGAAACTTTTTAGGTATATTGTGAGAACAAATTTTATTATTTTAATTTAATTAATTTATATTACTTACAAAATGAATCTCTGTTCAATTTGATAATAAAATGTAACAAAGAAAACTAATGAAGGAATTGCAGTTATTCTGTGAAATTGCTTGTATTATTATTCAAATACACGCTTTCTTTATTATCTGCAATAAAATCTTAATTATAGAATTAAAGAATACAAAAGTGCATGAACAATGATAAGTACTGTTCCTTATGTTAAAAATAACACAAAATACTCTCACTTTTTTTTTTATTTCAACCAATGCTGATTTTTTTAATGATATAATATAGTGATGATCAACTGACAACCTGTGGCTTGACTTTAAAAAAAATGTTATTGACCAAGGATTTTGAACCATAAACATTTTAAATTTCTTAAAACAATCTTTAGAACTTAAATATTATTAATAAAAGCTGATTAGTGATTTATTTTTTGCATGAACACCTACACCATTCTCATTAACTTGCATCCATAAGGTTTAAAGGCAAACATTTTTATAAAGAAATATATTCAAATAGTATACTGAATTCCTTTGTGTAATTTTTCTTTTGATTTATTATTCTGTATGCAAAACTGTTTTCAGAAATGATAGTATTTGAAATAACAAGTGTTTATTATTTTAGAACATGCCCTTTTGATATTTGCTTCATATATTTGTGTCTGTAAGAAAAATCAAGAATAGTGATGTATGCTACTGTTGCCATAAAATCGCCAAAAGAATTTTCAGTTATGTGTATTTGAAAATGAGTGCTTGAGATTATATTCAGCCTAATTTAACAGCTGTATTTAAGGTTTGTTTCCTTATTAGTCATTCAGTTATTTGTAATACTTGGTCAGTGCTCAACTAAATATTATTGCTGGTTAAGATTAAGATTTAGATTTCTTAATCATTTCTTTGTGAAATTAAAAACCATTAACTGACAGTGAGCTCAGAAGTATTTCTTCAAAAGCATTTTAGTGGATGTGCAGCTTTAGGTGTCTCAGGTGAAGTAAAATAGTCTCAGGTGAAGTAAAATATTAAGACCGAGTTTAGATGGTTCATACCTTTTGAGAAACAAAGCCATCCTGCTGTCTCGCGATGTCTCCATAGAGTGATTCCGTCACTCCCAATGAATGGGATAGGTTTCTTCTCACTCTTCATGGTGACATTATGATAGAGCTGGATCTCATTGTTTCTCAATGAGTTTCTCAAAAGTTGCAGTTGACTTCTTTACATGCATGTAAAATAGTATTCTTCGCTGTGTAGGTGTAAGTTGATAGAGTTTAGAAGGTAAGCGCGATTATTAATTTACAGAGAATACAAAAGTAATTGCAGTACTCTTCTGCTATCAAGATTGGATTAAAAAATTTATATATATGTGCACACATATGTACATACGTGTATGCATGCATATATGTACACGTATATCCATACATACATACATGCACGCATGCAAATATTTTTTAACCCGATTCCAGTAATGGCCCGTCCACACGTAGCGATTTCCTCGGCCGACAATATCTGAGATTGCTTTTTTGTCCACACGGAACGATTTTCTCATTAGTACTGCAATTCACTCAGCCAGTCACTGTGAAAGGTTGTGTTCCCACCCTCTACAGCATCACTCTTGTCTACGATTTGTAAACAAAGCTTATGGTGTTGTCAAATAGTCAAAATAAGGGATGACTATTTTAAATTGCTACTATAGCTACAAGTACGTTTTTGAACTGTAGCTATAACTGCTGCAGAAGGGGGGCAAAGAAAATGTGTTCGGACCAGAAATTAGGTCAAACTGTGAGAAATTCAGGGTGCATGTAATAGCTTGCTCGGGGAGTTGTGTATTGAAGACACAATGGAATTTGGAAAGTATTTACGGATGATGTCGTGATTTTGATTTTTTGCTAAATTTGGTTTGCAGCAAAATTTTAAAAATTATGCTTTTCCTTTGCGTATTGAGTGTGCAGATTACTCCTCCTTCTTTTTAAAAAAAAAATTTCTGCCACTCGTATTTGTGCATTTAAATCTTGAAATAATAAAATAACTATGTTTCAGAAAAAATAAGTAGCTATTGTTCTTTAAATCCAAACCTGAACTGAATAAATAGACAATAATGTTATGAAAATCAAACCAATATAAGTAGTAATAAAGATTACTATATTACAAAGCAAAAAGCAACAGAGTAATTTCAGTGTAAAATTTCGAATAAATATCAGAAAGGTGCAAAGTAGCATATTTATTGAACATTAAAAAACTATTACCAGCATAATTAAATAACTAATACAGTTTGAAAACTGATCATATGACTCTATCAGTTAATAAGCTAATAAAATTTAGCAATGTTGTATTTAATTTATCTGTAATTTGTTTACACAAAACTGAATTTGTGACTTTCTTTTGAGCTGGTACGCAACTACTAAACTTTTCACCATTAGATCTAAAACGTGTGTCAAAGGCCATTCGAAAAAAAAGGTGTTAAAATTCAATAAACACCACACCCGTAGGCGAAAAAATAAAAAGTGACTTTTAAGTCATGCAGTTGGAATTTAGTGCTGGAAAATTGAAATTAAAACGCCCTTGCAGGCGCAGAGAGTCCAAAATTAATGTTGGGGATCGAACCCACAATCTCGATGTTTGGAACAAAACCCGCTCTGCTCTTAACTGGGCTATGATCGCTCGTACAAGAGTCGTCAAAAAATCTATGTACTTCGTTGCATGATTAACTCCCGTTTTCGGCAAAGTCGATGAATCTGCGCTGCTTTAAATCTGCCCCATAATTTCTCGACTGGAGATTTTGCTTTCTGAATTTTTTCAATAAGTGCGACCATAGTTTCAAGTAGTTTCTGATTATTTTCATCTAGTACGTGACATGGCATCATTAATATTAGTGTGTTGACAAAAAGGCTACAGAAATTACTTAAATTCTTTTATTTAACAGAGGAATTTTTATGCAAACGTAGACCCTATTCTTATAGCATAGGACTGTCAGAATTTATTATTCAATAAGAAAACTTACTGAAAATGATAATATTCTTATGTATTCATCACTTTTTCAGTATCCACACAGGTTTATAGGTTCAAATGCCATATTTCAAAATCAAATTTAGTTATGAAATAAAACCTTACAAAATCTGATAAATAAATCTGATTTGTGTGTGTGCAAATTTTTAAATCTAAATCTCTTACATTAAATTATTTTCTGTCTTTTAAATTACATCCCATTATTTATTTCAATTTAATTGATTAATGTGTTTGTACTAATAATACAAAGTTCTTTGAAAGCACTTTTTTTGTGTCCTGAAAATGCCAAGTATGTCCATAAAAAAAAATAAGCAGGCATACAGAATAATTCATTTAATAGTTCATATAATCGCTTTTAATTTATTTCATGTCTAAATTTTCTACACAGAAATCCGCTGTCTAATTTTTAGTATCTTTTATGAGACGAAATTTTTCAAAGAGGAATGAATTGAAAGCTTGATTGAGCAAAACACATCTTTAAAGCTAAGTGTATTCTAAGAAGTAGAAAAAAATGTCAACACGATTTTGCCCCCCCCCTTCAAATCAGTCATTTAAACTATTCAAACCGTTCAGGGAAAGGATAAACATTGCGAACATGAAAATCTGGCCTTTTTTATATATACTTTAATAAAAGGAAATGTGTTCCTTCTTTTTATGAGAAAAGGAACCCATTTTCCTTTCTAAACTTTTGAAAGTCGCCAACGTTTAAAAAATGATAAACTACGCCAAGATAGAAACCCGCCTGACAACTCAATGCGCATGCGTGGTTAATGTTGGTGCGAATAGCATCGGCCACTTGGTGCAAGATAAATCAAATTATTATTAATCTATTTTTATGAGACTTTGTTTCAAATTGTTTTAAAAGTTAACATAAATTACTATTTTTTTTTTTTTTTTTTTTCAGGATAATATTAGTATGCATTAAATTTTGATATTCCACAATTCATCTCTATAGATAATAAATGAAAAAATGTGTTTACAGTATACCTATGCTGTTTTTGAAAAAAAGTGCTCCGAACGTAGTTGGATATCTAAACTTTGTCTTTAAGGAAAGTTTTGAAAAATAATAATAATAATAATGATAATGCCAGAAGCAATTTGTCTTGATCGCTTTAACACAAATTCCTGATTTCCCAGAATATTAAAATATATTTCATTGTCCAATCTCAACAATGCCCATTACGTCAAAGTCATGATTGAAAATAACAGTCTTTAATTGAGTAAATTTGTCATGAGTTATATTGATGTGAAGTAGAAAAAGTTTTCTTTTTTTTTTTCTTTCTTTTTTTTTTTTTTTTTTTTTTTTTTTTTTTACTTGGTGATAGGTGCAAGATCATGAGAGTTTTAGAAGTAAAGAGAGTTCCTCTTACATAAATCTATACTTCGACCAGCATCCAGCATTACTCTATGCTAGTCCTGTCTGGGGACACGCTGCCAAAATTCACCTTCAACACATCCAAGTTCTTCAAAACAAAGCACGCAGAGAGATCATCAACACGCCATGGTTCATTCCAAATTCTTATATCCACCGAGATCTCAAAGTAGATACAATTCAAGATTTTATTCAAAAACTTGCCAGAAATTTCTTCTATTCATTTCTCACTCATCCTAACTGCATCAACTCTCTTAGATGTTCTCCATTTCCCAGAGAAAAGCACAAATATCCATCTGACATTCTCCATCCTTAACATTTTTTATTTATACTAGATTCTTCAGCTCACTGATTTGGACCTTCAACCAGACACTCACCTTTTTCGTCGACTAATGACGGCCAGCTGACTTTTACTTTCGTCGTTTTGTTTTACTGATGTTCTTCACGTGATACAGAGTAAAAGGAGGCGCTGATTTCTGAAACTCAAATTCACTATATGTTCTTAGTAGTAAAGAGAAAAATGAGCAAAAAGTCTTTTTTTAAGACTAGTACTAAACCAGCTCTTAAGATTTGTTTTTGGAAAGCTGGCAGTCAGTCGTTTAGTTTAAACATGAGGCTTCACGTGAAAGCGACTGATATCCCTCCTGTTTGGTGATTTCTCAAAAATCTTGATACTTTTATAATGTGATCCGTAATAATGAGGAAGAAACAATATTACAAACTTTCCAAGCTTGGTTTAATTTATTTGATTATAGCACATAAGGGCTATCCGCCTAAGAGGATGGATGTTTTTGTGGGGGACTTTCTAAGAGAAACTGGCTTGTACCTATATTATAAATTTGAAAAGATTGGAATCAATTTTTGAAGTCATTTTTAAACCTTAAATTAATATTATCTTTCTAAGAAAATACCTTGGCAGTTTCGGAAGGGCTCATTCGTATTAAAATTTGAGTGTATTTCATAGGATAAAAATTTGCTGTTAAATTTCACATGCCACTGATATGCCTCTGTCACATGTCTTGTGGTCTCTGATAATAAATTTAGCACATATGCCAGTACTGGGGCCAACCCAAAGCTGTTTCAAAAGTTAGTTTATATTTACAGCTTTGGGCCAACCTAGAAGTCAAAACTTCTAGCGGTTGCTGCCTCAAGAACCACCAGCGATGTCCGATGAGTACTGGGAAATGAAGTGAAGAGAATCAAAACTCGAAAGCGGGTAAACAGTGCCGTGATACAGTTGCGAAGTATTTTAGCGATTAACGTAAATACTTGTATCCTGGTATGTTTTCCATTATTTTCCTTCTTAGTTACTACATTTTTAACCTCTTATTGGATGTATTGTGTAGATAAACTTTG